AGGAGGTGGAAAAAATAATTCTAATATAGTAATTAAAAATAGTGGGTCCATCTGTTTATTAGAGTGCCACTTGGTGGTTTAAGAGTGTTTGCAGGAGTTCTACGTGGCGGTTTAGGAGCGTTTGTAAGAAGTTTAATGGACTTTTAGTATATAATAGATAGATTACTTAAATTTTTTTGAATAAGACGAACGGTCAAACATATTTAAAAAAGTCAATGGCGTCAAATATTTATAAACGGAGGGAGTAGTATTTTATTACTATAGGGTGTGTTTAGTTTACGTCAAAATTAAAAGTTTGGTTGAAATTGAAACGATGTGATGGAAAAGTTAGAAGTTTATATGTGTAAGAAAGTTTTGATGTGATGAAAAAATTGAAAGTTTGAAGAAAAAGTTTGGAACTGAATAACGCCTATATAGATATTGGACTACTCCAAGTACGGAGTAATCAGCTTGCACATGTTGGCAATGTTTTTGCACAGCGATTGCAGCAAAAGTTGCAGTCTTGCAGAGAGAGGAATGGACTGTGAACACTGAAGTACTGAACCTTATCGCATCGCATCAGGTCGGAGTATCAAAAACCTTCAAATGGTGTGTTTCGATGTGTCACATTGGGTATTATATATGGTGTGTTTGGACACTAATAAAAAACTAATTATAGAATCTATCGGTAAACTGCGAGACGTATTTATTAAGCCTAATTAATCCGTCATTAGTAAATGTTTACTATAGCACCACATTATCAAATCATAGAGCAATTAGGCTTAAAAAATTTATCTCGTAAATTAGTCGCAATCTGTGCAATTAGTTATTTTTTATATATATTTAATACTTGATGCAGGTATTTAAACATTTGATATGATATGGTAAAAAAATTTTAAGTAGGAACTAAACAGCTCCGCTAGCTCATCGAACAGTCACAAGTGTTAAGACCGTACAGTTTTGGATCTTTTCCGGAAGAAAATGTGCTTGGAAATTGGGATTCCTCGTAAAAAGAAAAAGGATATACCCTTTGTTTGCTACAGTAGCATCTGTCAAGTGTCAAGGGAGAAAAATCAAAAGCGAAAAGGTGGCGGGTATCTGGCAAGTGTGCAAGCTCGGCCGTCACGTGGAAAGCTGCTAACCTTTTTTTTTCCCTCTGTTCGTGCAGCAAAAGAGAAAGGCAAAAGGCTAGAGGGGCACAGCTCGTGCAGGGACCGGACATTTTCGGCACAAGAACATCTAATGCGAGTTTTCCTTTGAAAGAAACATCGCACGTTGGCTCGATATAAATGGAGCCTCTATGGCTCAGGATTTTTCCATAGATTTGAATTGAGGTTTGTCCTGCCTTATAGTATAAGCTTTCAATTGAAGCTGGGAAATGGAAATGTCACCTTTTTTTTTCAAAAAAAAAACTCGCACATTCAGTTTTTGGTACACTATAACAACCAGCATTATAACAATAGGATTTTCCATAGATTTCCATTAACATTTGTTTTACCTTATGTATGATTCCGCTGAAGTCGGGAAATGGAAATATTCCCTTTACATGGAGAAAAAAAGTGTTTCGGTAATATAACATGTAGTCCTCTGTTTTCAAGTATACGATTATGTTTGTTTTTTATATGATGTTTGATCTTTTATCTTACTTTAAAAAATGAACAAAGATGAAAAATATGTCATATTTAAAATATTCAATGATAAAATAGGTCACATCAAAATAAATGATGCTTACACGGTTTTTCAATAAGATGATTGGTTAACTATTACGGGCATCATCATTGGATTAATGTTAATTACATGCTGTCCTTAGCGATTCAATAGCTGTTTGGCTAATGGGTTAAAAAATGATTTCACACATGTTAAAAAGTATATTTAATCCAAGCTATCAATTTTCGCTCCCTTATTCATCCTACCTATTCACTTATTTCCTCATGGCATTCCCACTCCTCTTTTCCAATTATCCAAATACAATGGATATGAAGAGACATTGTGGTAGTGAGAGCTTTGGCTCATTCCATGTTGTCTTGCCATATATGTCAAATAATGTGGTGTTTAGATTTAGGAATATGATGAAATCATGAAAGATGCAAGGAAATGTGTATGTACATATATGCGAGAATGCTGCATACTGGACGACCGACGGGGGGAGCCGGATTGGGCGCTCCCCCCGCGCGCCCTTCTCCCCACGTACGTGCATGCAGGTCCTGGGTCCCACCGCGTCCTCTACTCCCACCTACCATTGAAAAAAAAAACCCACATATTTTGGAAACCCCCTATTAAGGAAATTTGGTTTATTTTTTTTTCACAAAAAATGTTTTACCTAGTGTATTCACAATGTTTCACTATGTATAGATCTAAATGTTGTAGTGAACTGAAATACTCCATTGCAACAAAAAAACCCACATATTTTGGAAACCCCCTATTAAGCGAATTCGTTTTATTTTTTGTTCCACCGAAAAATGTTTCACCTAGTATACTTATAATGTTTCACTATGTATGGATCAAATGTTGCAGTGAACTAAAATATTCTTTCGCTATTTGCTGAAACATTGTTTTTATATAAGGTGAAATAACACATAATTAAACGAGTGAAACATACAATTCCGATATACCTGGTGGAACATCGTGCAACATTTAAAAAAAATTCAATAATAAGCTAAAAATTATTTTTTGTCGGAATATATCCGTGTGTAGTCTTGTTTTAAAGATTTAAGTGCAACGAATTTAATGATGCAATCGGATCATAATTTGGATAACTAATTTAAGAGAAAAATCAGTTTAAAATAGTTTTACAGGTAAATCGGACGTTGACGTCATGCTGACATCAGCGCTCGGTTTTTGAAGATTTCGATCGAGCGACCGATCCCTAGTCACGTCCACATATATGTAAGCATTTTAGGTTTGAGAGGGTTGTGAATCCTTTTTCCTCAACACGCAAAACAAAGCGATAGATTAGTGTATGATTAATTAAATATTAACTCGTTTTGTTCTGAATTTTTCTGGAGCAAACTTCCGACCCAACGATAGAATGATTTTTTCTAGTACAAAGAAAAAAAAAGATTTGGAATCATAATGCTACTATGTACATATACTCTGAGGAATATTTGGAATTTTATTCAAATATAATCCATTTTGGTGCGGGGTCTTATGCACGAGACAAGGATACGTCAAAAAGCTGGATTTTTCACATTTTGGTCCTTTTAAAAAACTTATTTCGTAAATAGACCCCTGAAAAAACTTATCCCAAAAATAGTCCTTTTTGGGGCGCCAGAGTGGCTGGCGCCGTCGTTCAACAGGACGGCGCCAGCCTCTTTGGCGCCGTCCCCCTGCCGACGTGGCGGGGTGATGCTGAGGTGGCTAGGGGGAGTGCGCCAGAGTGGCTGGCGCCCCTCCCCCCGAAATTTTTTATTTTTGTTTTATTTGTTTGATATTTTTTTCACGCTTAGGGACACACAAGAACCAACCATAGAAAAATTGAACTTAAATAGACGTAATATGTGACATGTAGAATTTTTCCTCTCCTCTCCTCTCTTTCCGAACTAGTGCAGAGGAGAGAGATGTGCAACTTTTTTATTTTTATTTTATTTTTTTGATATTTTTTTCACACTTAGGAACTCACAGGAACCAACCATGTAAAAAATAAACTCAAACGAACGAAATATGTGGCATGTGGAATTTTCCAAAGCTCCACCGAAAAACTTCTCTCCTCGAAAACACAATCTTGCAAGCGGAATTTGGAGGTTTTAATATCGCCGAACCTGGCATAGCGAGGGAGAATTGGATGTATCATTTTCTGTAGATGTCCGTGCATATATTATTTGCCTGATTCCGAGTCCGTATGAGAAAGTTACGCCTATTTTAATAGATGACATATTTTGTCCGTTTCGGTAGAGTTTTGGAAAATTCTACATGTCACATATTTTGTCCGTTTGAGTTTATTTTTTATACAGTTGGTTCCTATGTTCTCCTTAGTGTGAAAAAAATATAAAAAAAATGAAATAAAAATAAAAAATTGCATCTCTATGTACTGTTTAACTTATATATATGTCATTTCATGTGGTTATATTTTGAATTAGATTAAGTAATTTCATATAGTGGTAGAGTGCATTATATTTAACATGCTGATCAAAGGGTTTTACTAAAGGAGTTATGGTCTAATTTTAGTGAAGGTGCAAAGTAGACTAAGTGGTATGCTAGATATTTTCAGACTTAGCTAAGTGGTAGTTCGAGTTTAATTTTTTTTTTGTGGTTGGTTGTATCGTGATACTGAGTATGAAAAAACATCCGAAAAAATAAAATAAAAATGACACCGTTGCAACTCCATACAGAGAAACAGGAATAGAGGCGGCGGCGCCAGCCATGCTGGCGCCCTCCTCCCTGGGGCGGCGCCAGCCTCCTCCTGCCACGTCGGTTCGCGTGCGCCACGGTGGCAGGAGGACGGCGCCATCCCGTTGGATGACGGCGCCAGCCACTCTGGCGCCCCAAAAAGGATTATTTCTGGGATAAGTTTTTTCAGGGATCTATTTGCGAAATAAGTTTTTCAAAATAACCAAAATGTGAAAAATCAAGCGTCAAAAAGCTTACTTCATCCTGCATTAGCTCTCCTTCCCTTTGTTTTCAGAAGGAAAGGCAATGGAATTGCCAAATACATTAGCTCTCTTTGTCCCATTAAAACTTGTCTTTTTCTCAATTTCTACATCCAAACAAAACCCCTAAAATCTGTGCTCTATTTGCATCAACAAAAAAAAAAACAAAACCCCACCAACGTTTCTTCAAACACAGCCCAAAACCCGTTCACACACATTGTCAGGGACCAGCTCATTACTTCCGTGGACCCAACCCCCCCGCGCGGTGGGGCGCACGGAAACGCTCGAGACGGACGGCGACGACGACCCTTGCGTGGCCTCCCACGTGTCACCCCCACCGCCGCGCGTCGCGTCGCCCCGTGCAGCGCAGCCGAGCCGAGAGTCGAGAGACCCACCCCCACCGTCGCCGCAGTTTAATTGGCAGCTCACACACGCACGAGCCGTCACTCCGCGCTGCACGCTGCATATATCCGAGAGCCCAAGCGCGCGTCAGGGCAGGCAGGCTCCACCATTTCTCCCAGCTCGACCCGCGCACACCGCCGCCCGGGGAGGAAAAGCATGGGGAGGGCGCCGTGCTGCGAGAAGGTGGGGTTGAGGAGGGGGAGGTGGACGAAGGAGGAGGACGAGAAGCTGGCGAGGTACATACGGGAGAACGGGGAAGGGGCGTGGAGGTCGATGCCCAAGAATGCCGGCCTGCTGCGCTGCGGCAAGAGCTGCAGGCTTCGGTGGATCAACTACCTCCGGGCCGACCTCAAGAGGGGGAACATCTCGCCCCAGGAGGAGGACATCATCCTCAACCTCCACGCCACACTCGGCAACAGGTAGTACCTTCTTACTTTGCCCCTCCATTACTTCAATCTGCATATGGTTCATATATCTATACACACACGATCGCTTTGGCATTTCTCCGTTTTGTTTTGATACGAATCACACGAAGTTGAGATTTGAGAAAGAGCTAGGAAACGAAGCCCCTGAATCTTAGCCGCCGCCTAGTAGTTTTACAAGCTCGTCTGCCTCTGAGCATTGTTCGTCTTTGTTTTGGAAAAAAAAGATTGTCCCCACAGCTTCGAATGGCTTCCTCTTCCTATCAGAAATTAGAATCGGGAGCTCGAAGCACATGTTACCAAGCCTGCTTTCGCAAGTCTGATGATCTAGAGTCTCTTTCGCTCTGAAATGATGCAGAAACGCCACATACGAGAGCCTGCGATACCTGGTTCTCGTGCTTCCTGCACTTTTCTGCTTTTTTTTTTGCCGGTTAAAAAGTCATAATCATATAGTAACATACTCCTTTTTTTTTGCCGGTTAAAAATACAGAAGACACGCAGATAGGATTATTTACTAGTACTACAAAAATGGAGTGATTGCATTTACGTTTATACAAGAAATGCCGATTGATCGATTCCCTGCGACTCTGCTCTTGAAGTACCCAAGGGCAAAAGCCTGGATCTTCCCTTTGTCTTAGAGCGAATTACTCCCATTCTTTTTTTTTTACCTTCCCCTGCCCTTTAACTACAGTTCCTCCATGACCAAAGGCCAAAGAACAGAAGAAGGCCAGCCTCCATGGCTCCATCCTAATAACCTTTGTCTTGGAGCGAAAATTTACCACCGTAAATCACGCTGTTTTACCTCGCCAATCCCCCTGGGTCGCTTTCCACGCGCCGGGTCACGCTCGTGTTTTTTCTATGGGCTAACCCGACCGCGCGTGATTCACGACACGCCGGACTTTCATGCCAAGACGCTGATCGATATATCGATCCACGTGGAGTAGTTCTTTCCTGGTGAAGACATAATTTATCTTGATTTTTTTCTATCATATTTTTTTAAACTGCTAAGTGTGAATAGAATTTGTTTTAAAATATCAGATAATTTTTAAAAATAATTAAACCTTAATATGTAATATAATAATAGTTTCCTTTTTATATTTTACGTGTTTTTTTTAGAATGCCATTTGGTTAGCTTTTATGGATCATTAAATATAGTTCTATCGTTTGTGAAAGTGCTTAGAATATAGCCAAGAGGTTCATCGACCCAAGTACAAGACTCTTTCCTACTAAAAGCTACCCTGGCCAATTCATGAGCAACTTTATTTGCTCCCCTGTTGCAATGTTCAATAGATATGCTATCCAAACCTCTTTATATTAGATTACATTCTTCGTAAATAGCTACTGAGGCTGTTGCCGAATAATCTCCATTCAATATAGTACCTGCAAGCAATCTGACTAAAAAATTACCCGTTTAATTCTCAATCTTTAGTGAACTCAAACGGGGGCTTAAACCCACTGTCGCGTAACCAAAGGCTCACTCGCCTCAGCCGTAGTATGACAGTATTTAGTGCTGCTTAGCGTAAGCGGGAAATACTTGCAGGAGAATGGAGATGCATACCGAGATGCTGTCAGCGACAGGCTTTAATTTAGCGCAGAGAAAATTTCCCATGCTGCTGACAGATGACACGGATGGCGGGTCCGCTTCCGCTGTCGTTAGCTAGGGTCCCATTTGATTCGGACTGATTAGTACTTTGATCTCCAATTTTTTTTCCCTTAAAGAAAGACGCAGATTTGAGCTTGGCTCTTTATGGATGATTAAATATATTATAGCCAATTATTTACAGGGTTTACATGTAAGTAATCCATGTGAACCGTGGTACGCGTAATTATTTGTGAGTCCATAATCTGAAAATAATGCAGTCCAAGTATGTTATTGTCATCACATTAACTTTTTAAGTCCTTTTTCACCATAAAATACCTTAGCTTTTAAAATGGTCCAGTAACATGATCCTTATGGTGACGTTATACTCTACTGTATTCAACAAAATGTACTTCTTAGGAGTCTGTATCAATGATAATCACAATCGTACTGTACCACTCAATACAACCATAAAGATGTTATTGTACCATTTTAAAAGGTAAAGAGATTTTACGGCGAATAAGGACTTAAAAAAGTTAATGCCATATGACAACGACATATTTAGCTTGATCGTAGTATTTTCAGATTATGGACTAATAAGTTACACGTGTTCTCAAACTACTATTTGACCAACAACTTTCTACCTCAGTATATATTGAGTAGATAGCTCATTCTAAGCTACTCCCTCTCCCTCCAGTGCGTAGTCAAACTTTTATAATTTTGACTCTTTAGTTTAAAAGAACTAAAACAACATATATGGATTTGTTTTTCAAAGTTCTACAAAGTAAATATGCATTTATTTATTTTATATACATTATAATAGAAAACAAGGTCAATGATATATTACGAAGATCGTGTTATTATCCAAAACGTCAAGAATTATGGAAGGAGAGAGTGTCTTTTAGGTTTATAATATATAATAATTGATATATAGTTAATCTTTAGGCATTGAATGATACGATTGTGATTTTTATTGATACAGACTCTCATGCCTGTAAGTTTTGTACGTGTAAGTTTTGTTGAATACAGTACAGCATATTGAAGGCTCAATTTACCTAATTTTAAAAATTAAGTGCGGAAAAACCATTTTCTTTCAATAAAAAGTATGCCTAGGGAAGAATGAGATCTGCTGGTGGTATATCAAAGACTTTACCATAAATAAATAATGCACGAGATTTGATGGCCCAACTGCTAGGAGACATACTTTGACGTATTTTTCACATTATTGATTTAATTATAAATACCACTCCACTAGGATATACTCTCCTGTCTCAAATAAGTGTACTCCTCTAATTTAGGGCCCTTTGAATCGCAGGATTAAGAAAACGTAGGAATAGGAAAAACGTAAGATTTTGATAGGAATGTAAGTGTAAAACAGAGGATTGCAAAACACAGGAAAAACATAGAAATGACCGTTTGATTGAACCACAGGAAAAACACAGGAATTGGATGAGAGAGATAGACTCAAAGGAAAGTTAGCAAGAGGTTGAAGCTCTTGCTAAATTTCCTTCAAAATCTCTATAGGATTGTCCATTCCATAGGAATTTCAAAGGATTGGATAGGATTCAATCCTTTGTTTCAAAGGTTTCATAGGAAATTTTTCAATAGGATTGAAATCCTCTAAAATTTCTATGTTTTTCCTCCAAATCAAAGGAGCCCTTAAAATTTAAACTAGTGGAGTGCACTTGTTTTGGAATGAAGGAAATACTGTATAAGGGCTTTGAAGGAAGTATCGTTGACTTGAGAAAAGCACAATACAATGACTAATACTCCATCTTTTTCATAATGTTATCTATTTAGATTTATTAACATCAATATGAATATGGAAAATTCTGAAATGACTTATATTGTAAAACGGAGGAAGTACTTTACTAGAGCAAACTACGCCATCCATTTTATAATACATGATGTATTTTATTTATTTTGTTAGGAGAAGATTTTAACTAATAATTTACTCTACTATGGATTATATTTTTTGTGGAGCAAAATTGATGCTACTAGTTCGTATTCAAAAGTATTTTGGTATGATTATATTTTTTTATAATCATACTATTTTGTCATATAAGTGATTTATAAGGGAATCGGTTGTTTGTCAAAACCATGTCCTACCGAAATAAAATACAATCTCCGTTCCAAAATGTTTTACGCCGTTGACTTCTTTAAAAATGTTTGACCGTTCGTCTTATTCAAAAAATTTAAGTAATTGTTAATTCTTTTTCTATCATTTGATTTATTGTTAAATATACTTTTATGTATACATATAGTTTTACACATATCATAAAAGTTTTTGAATAAAACGAACGGTTAAATATATTTAAAAAAGTTAACGGTGTCAAACATTTAGGGAAGGAGGGAGTACGTCCTATGTTTAAAATGGAGGGAGTAATGGTTTACACGTTGAGGTGGCGCACGAATCAGGCGAGGAACGTGAGCTGCAAGTAGCCCAGCACGAATGGGCGCCTTGTGGGCTATCTATTGATTATACTACTACTACTAATCTACTATATTTCCACGCGTAGCACGCCGTAATACGTGTCCGGTTCGTATATATTCGTACATGACATGCGGTTATGATAATACTCGTAGAGTATATCATTTGGTTCCAATCTTAGCCTCGTTTTTCACGTGGAAACTTGATAGAAAAGGGTTTGTCGGTGTTTGGCTCCTAGCTCGACGAGAACGGGAACGGGGTGCGCGCGGCCTCTCGTTTTTGTTTACACTCTGCTGGGCTCAGCTTCATATTATAGCCTGATTTTGGTTTGATTTTTGGATTAAAATGTTGAGAGTTCTTTCCCTTCTTTCTTTTTTTCCTAAAAAAAGAGAGTATATGTGTCGGTAGTGGGGTCAACAAAGACAGGGGACTTTTAACTCGTCTTGTCTCGATGGATTTAAGGAGAAAGGGACTCTGTTCCCATCGTTGGACTGCCTGTCATTTTTTGCATGAACGAGTGCAGCATGTACAGGGTTGCGGTAGCACGTAGCAGCAGCAGTAGTACGTGGCCAAGCTGCTGACACGATCAGCAACTTGCCTTGGCTAGACATTTTTGGCCACTATGGCGTAAATGCCGCGGATGGCGAGCATGCTAGAAGCCAAGAAAAGCGATTTTAAAATCATGCACGCACGTATCCTTCCCTTTCATAGCTGCGACCGAGCTTTCATCAATGTGGCGGGCGATTTCACTTCACTTCAACCGCGTAAGTAAACATACTACTGCTCGGTGGTTGGATCGCCAGCAGCGCGCATTCATTGCCGGCATGTGGCTGTGCCGCCGCCGTTACTCTCGCCGGGGCCGGCAGCAGCATCGCTGCAACGGCGCACGCATGCAAAACAGCAAAAGCATCCCCAGCCAGCCAGCCATATGCCGTTTTCTCCTCGCAGTCGCAGCAGTGCAGGATTTCAAAGTACAGAATTACTACATGCTTGTTAGTTACTGCTGTGAATCCGTGATTGATTGGTTCTCCGTTTTCTCGCCATCAGGTGGTCCCTGATCGCCGGCCACTTGCCCGGGCGGACGGACAATGAGATCAAGAACTACTGGAACTCGCACCTGAGCCGGAAGGGATACGAGTTCCTCCGCGGCGGCGGCGGCGGCGCCGTCGTCGACGTCGACCTCAGCAAGTTGCCCGGCGGCGGGAAGCGGCGCGGCGGCCGGACGGGCCGCAGCAGCAGCGGGAAGGAGAAGACGAGGACGAAGGAGAAGGACAAGGCCCCCGCTCCAGAAGCTGCGCACAATGACGACGGCGGCGGCGGCGGCGGCGGCGGCATTGACAACGTCTCGGCAGCTAGCCACAGCCACAGGGAGGAGCAGGCACAGGCGAGCGCCAGTGGTCTCACATCAGATGGGCTCGAGGAGGGCCCACTGGGCCTAAGCGAGGAGATGGTGAGTGGGCCCGTGGGACCGGTGAGCCCAAAGCCTGAGGTGGGCCAGGATGGGTCTTCTGCAGAGAGTGGCTGCTGTGGGCCTAGTGGATCCAGTGGCCCAACCGAGGCTGTGGGCCAGGACATGGGCGACAAGTCCATGGACTGGGACCTGGTGGGCCTGGACGATGGCTTCGCCAACGATGACATGTGGGGCTCACTCTCCTGGGACTACGGGGAGTTGGTGGGCCCGGATGGAGTTCATCAGGGCGAGGTGCTATCCGACTTGTTCTTCTTGGGCAACCTGTAGCCAAGATGTGTAGGTGAAGTGACAAACGTGTTTGGGTTTCACCATCTTTTGGGCATGTTTGATGGGGGCCGTATTGATTTTGGGGTAGAGAGGTTGATGCGTGTCTAGTGAGAAGAACGATACTAGTTGAGTACTTGCGTTAGTTCTTTTGGTTTACCGGTCATGAAGATTTGTGTGCGTATGCATCAACATGAGATTAATGCATAGACCGCACGCTATGAATGTATAATTCTAGCATCCATAAACTGGATTGCAAGGAATACTTACAGTCCTATTTTGGCACTATATGGATAGATGTGCTTCTGAAGTAGCGAATCTCCAGTGTCTCTTTGACACCGTGTCTTTGCTAAGATTGATCCAATAAAATCATGTGAATTCAAACAAAATTCACTAAATCATCTTTAGAAGTCCACAAGAACAATGCTATAATAGCATTTGATGATTGGTGAACTAGTAGGACGAAGTACCAAATATCCGTATGAACGAACTAAGTATAAGTTGAGAATTGCAACATTTTCTATGTAATTGTTGTAATATCCACAGTAGAAAAGGATATGTAGTCCTCAAAGTAGCGGACATGTAAAGAAAATTCAGATCATTGGCATAAACATTCACCCTGCAATTAGTGCTATTACATCTACTTGGTTTATGTGCATATCCCACTATCATAATACATTACAAAAGGCTTTTTTTCGAAAGTCAGAAATTTTAAACGGAGATAGTTATGAAGCCTAATTCCTTGTCTAAATAAGAATTATTTCTAGTCATTTAGGGAGAGAGAATGAACCCCTATATAGAAAATATGGTAGTAGAAAGTAACTGATGCATGTTACATTGCGGAAGTATATGCAAAGAATTGAAGCTGCCCAATAACTTTTTTATTACTTTTGTGATTATGAAGAGTTTGACTAAGTTGTATGAATAAAATGCACCGGATGAGGGTGAAATACCGAAGAAAGTAAATGTATCCGTCATCTTGTCTAGAAGCCTCGAATAAAAACAAATCGGATAAGAAACTTCAGCTTCTCACGCCCCTAAATGAATCGGAGACGTCTGATGAAAATAGGGCAAGAGGGACTATCATACTCAAAGTCACGAAAAGTACCCCACCAAGAAGGGGAGTTAGTTGAGCTCTGGCAAGTGGTACGGAAGCTCAGAACAGGCATGTCACATCTTCTTATCAAGGAAGAAAAATAGTAGTTGGAGTACACACCAACACTGTTATACTAATAGGATCATGCCCTCATCAAGAAGAAGCAGCATATGAAAATTGCATATCCTCGTGAAAGAGCATATATGCCCCTAGTAGATTTTGGTTAATTAATGACAAACGATTAAGGGACTAATGCGCTTATTAAATGTATGAGTAAGGGATTAGTCCGATGAAAAAAAAACCAACGAAGATGATGAAGAATAATATGTAATATAACGAGGTTTCATTGTGATCTAAGGTTACAAGTGACTAAAGAAAGCAAGAGGCGGTAAAGAGTTGGCAAGACTTGCTTCGCGATGGATCATGCATGGGAGAATGTCAAGCGAAGGCTTGGCGAGTGCCTTGTCGAACACAGATGGATTGATCGAGGCCATAGGAAGTAAGTTGCTAAGAATCAACCATATTAGCATTGATAAAAGCAAAGAAAACAGATGGCACGAAGGTATTCATATTGGTACAACTTTTCTATTTGCTCTTGAGTTGGTAGGAAAACCGTACTAATAAAGAGGGTGTTACCTTGATGTATAGGGATGAGTTTGATTCTTCCTTTTGAAGTGTTTCTCTTTATTGGATTTTACATTATTGTGATTTTTGGAATTTTTGAAAGTTCTTTTCAAAATTTCCGAAATTGATATGGCCACCAAATTGCTATGTGGTGTTTTTTCAGAATTCTCCGAAAATGGTTTTCAGAGTTCCCGAAAATTGATTTTGCTCTCTGGTGATTTTCAGAATTCTCCAAAAATGGTTTTCGGAATTTCCGAAATGGTAAAAATTTGACAACAAAGCTATCTGGTGATGTCTTACTTTTCCGAAATATTTTTGGAATTTTCAAAATGTTTTTTTTCCTGCTGAGTTCGTGCTGAAATTTGCACTTTTCGGTAATTTCAAAAATACTGTAGCAAAGTCTGAAAACAATTCTAAAATTTTTTCGAAAATTCCGAAAATTGCTGCTCAACTGAAATTGCCTTCCGGTGATTTTTGGATGTCCGAAAGTGGTTTCCAAAAATTGCAAAAGATGGAATCTTTGCTTCCAACGGGCAGATCTAAGACTATGGCTATAAATAAACCCCTCCTCCCCTAAATCAAAGTTGTTGGCTCCATTGCTTACCTTTTGCCGCTATGGCTATAAATAACCCCTCCTCCCCAAATCAAGGTTGTAGGCTCCATTGCTTACCCTTTGCCCTTGGCTTGTGTTCATTGTTGGTATTTCTTAACGTTCACAGATAAAATCCGCAAGGGCACGGATATACCGTTGTAGCACTTCACCCGGGAGTATTCCAAGGTATCGAATTTCCACATGGAACATGTGTGTTCAGCTACTCTTCATGTTCATCCAAGGACATGAAGCAAAAATGAGGAAAAGATAGAGATAATTTCCTAGTGAGGAACAGTGTCTAAAAAAACTTACTTTAATCCTATCACAATACTTCAGATATTTGCTTTCTCGCTGATACCAGAACGCGCTATACTTCGTACTTGGACAAGGAGGACTTAAGTGATCTCGAGAGGTGTTACCACCTGTATATCTACCTCTAACAAACAGTGGGATACACAACAGATACTGGTATTAAATAATATAGACACCACGTCTATACCATTTAAATACTAATCTAATGTTGATCAAACATTAAATTAAACACTATCTCTAGTGCACAATATTCCAGTATGCTAATAGACTAACTAGGAGATAATCTTCACAAAGTAAATCTCAGTTACTCGATAGAGATATTATCAATTAAAGCAGAGTAGTTGACAAGATACAGAAGTAAAGGTCTCCCTTACTCTCTCTATATTCTAATGTATATGAAAGATACAATAGAGCCTCTTGTAATTCAGCTCATGCTTGTTGTGTGTTGAATGAAGGATGATGATGGGTATTTATAGGTGGAGATTTCTTTGAAGAGTGGAGATCCTCCTTGGCATCCAAAGAGCACATTTCTTCTCCTCATGCCATCTGTCCATTTGGATGACGGTTGGAGCGCCGGAACCGGTAGAAACCATCATTGGGAAGCGGTTACTACCGAACGCAACCTGGGCCTAGGCCAGCAGCTTCTGGGTTGGAATAAGGTCACCGAGGTCCCTCAAATTAATAGCGAGATTTTTTGAGGTTCCTTAACTACCAAACCAGAAATGTGTACCCCTAAACACTCTCAAACCATTCACCGGAGGTCCCTCGGCAGTATTTTTGCCCGGTTTTGCTGACATGGCATCCTAGTTAGCAAAAAAAAATTTAAAAATTACGTGGGGCCCACATGTCAGCTGCACATTTTTTTCTTCTCTTTTCTTCTCCTTCTCTTCTCTCTTCTCTCTTCAGCGAGCGCGCTAGCCATAGGCAGAGCGGTGTGACGGGGCTCTCCTCCGTGGAGGCGACGAGCATGGCTGCGGCGGTGACGGTAGGAGCATGGCTCTCGGACCTAGAGCTAGCGCGTTCAGCCGGAGCAGCTGGGATACAAACAAATTTATTTTTCCTAAATTATCAATATCTTAAAATACTCTCTCAAATTTTACTGTAATTGTGAAAACTTAAGAAGTAATTTTAACAATGCAAACATCATTTCTAGAATTAATTTAAATAGAAAAAGATAAAATCACTGCATTAGTGTTGGGCTGATTTCAGACCATTACCTTTCCACCTAATCCATAGAGAGGCCGAATAAGTCCATTATGCATTCCTCTTTTTTATTATTGATGAAGAGCATGAGTAGAGAGAGCCTAAATAGACTTCCTCGTAAGAGGTAGAGAGGTAACGGAATGGGCCAAAATCAGTCCAATACTAGAGGTCTGACAGGTGGGCTGTTTTCCTCACCCTCCTCGAAAAGGGCCAAAATTAACCTAATACCGATCAAGAGATTTCGTTGATTTATGTTTAAAATAATTGGATAAATAAATCTTGTATTATTAAAATCAATAATATGGCTCTGAAAATTCCAAAAAATTCAATATAGTATTTTAGTTCATGAGAATTTAGGAAAAATAATTCAGACCGTGATTTATTAAGAAAATTTTATTCCCTTTTTACTTCGCTACACTTAATTGATTTGCACATTGTTATAAATTCTAGAAATATTAAGTAATTTTTAACTGCTTACAAATTCATGCCATGTTGTTTTCAATCATAACTTATGACGTTTATGGTGTTTTCAATCATAACTTACCGACACAATCCCTACCAAAAATCATAAAAAGAAATGGTATAATGACGCATAGCTCCAATGCCACGGGTAATTCATCACAGAAGGTCACATGTGTAGTTGTGCTGAGCTAGAAACTGAATCCATGTGATGCAAATGAATGCATGAGTTTCATAATAGTGTACAAAATGCGGACATTTCCTCGATTAAGGTAAGGTTTCCTCATACTAGTTTTCTTTTACACGAACTAAGTTCATATACAGCCCAGCTGTCGATGTGTGGACCAAATTACGTATGTGCTGAGTCCAACTTGGGCCATATTGATGCAAAGTTAAATTTAACAATAGAAAGACCCATGGACAACCCTGGTGACACCGCTAAACTCATCTATTGCCACTAAACGTTCTTCTACATAGCAATTACGTAATATTGCTGCCATAGAACCTTGCTAGTAGCAACGATTCCCGGTGTTTATTGCTACATCTAAGACTCGTTGCAACGATTCAGATTTGCATTGCAATATCTAAGACTTATTTGGAACAATATTGTTTTGCGTTGCTATATATAAGATTCCTTTTACAACACTGCAGTTTTGTGTTGACATAACATAGACTCTTTTGCAACACACGATAGTACTAATATCAGTGTTCTATATTCGTTGCAACATGGACAACTATTGCAACCATTACAAAAAGCGTGGAAATAACTTCGCCCAAATTACAATGCAAATATATTTGTTGCGATATATCCTACTTATTGCAAGTAACAAAATTAAAAACGCAACACTACACAATTAGTGGCAACATGTCCCCGTATCGTAGCCAAAATACACTGTGGTCGTAATAACCCCTATGTGTTGCAACAAAAATCACATTGTTGTGATAAATTCTGTGGCATTAGCCCCAAGACCTAGTTAGTAGTGAATTTCAGTTGTTCTTTGAAGGGCAGTTGTAGCAGCATACATGACTACCAATTCCCATATAGGTCAAAACTATCTTGGTAGGATCATTTATGACCAATAAACTCTTAGATATCCTCTTTTGACTCCCAAGGCGTGAAATTAAATTTCGCTGCATTCCTCAAGTTCGTTATGCCAATGATATTAACAAGCAAATTTTGTTGATGGTTGAATCAAACAATAGTGGAGTTTATATTGGGGTAACATCACTGGGGTTATTATTGGCTGCTGTTCTAATTTCTTTTACTTAGTAGGCATTAAACATGCCAGTGGAGTTCTATATTGGCTCATGTTCTTATTCTTATTCCTTAATAGAGTTTAAATATGTAGCATGAAACCTTTTAGCGGAGTTATGATTGTCTCCAGTATTCTGTGCCACATCAAATCTATAGATATGCCTCTTGATCTAGTTTGTTTGCCCCTGTTAGAATATGAATTTATGGAGAACATAGTATCCTTTGTTTGATAATTTATTCATCAGTGATAGTTGGTACAATAATTGTATAATCTAGTCGAGATACCATGAAAGTCAAGATACCATAGTCATGTCCTCATCAGGGTAACTGTCAATGCGCGCATAACTGATCTTGTCCACAAAATTTAAATGAAACATAATTTTAAACTTCATCCTAACTTTACCAAACTGACCAACGTGTGATATTTTGATTAAGATAGTAGTTTTCATCAGCAGGAGAGGAGAGCTAGCATAACTGTGTGCACTTTGTTTTATTCTTGTTTAAACTGGTCGCAATCGATCGATCTCTCCTGAGCTATATTATTCTCTGGTCCTGAACTATATTCTTTGTTTAAGAACTCTGAACTATATTATCTAGAGTCCAATTCTCTGGAGCTAGGTATCTAGCTATTGAATAACAATGTTGTTGATGCGCAAATGACTGATCTTGTGCACTATGTGTATCTAATTGCAAATGGAAATTGTCGTTGTTACTATGTGACTGCAACACGCGGATATGTCACATTCTCGTACAATGGTGGAAAATTGTGTAGTATTTCTTATTTTAATTTGTTTATCCTTTCATACAATACCAGGTCAGTTGTGCAACTGTCTAGGGTCCAGGCCAAAGGGGGGCCCATGCCCCCCAACATAGATGCGAGGCCTAGGCGTGCGCAAGGGAGAGCGAGACTGATTCCTGAAGCTAAACTAGTGAAGGTGTGCTAATCAATTAGTTCACTATATACCAATTTTAATCATTTCAATTCATGGTTATTGTTGTATAATTTATAGTATGGCATCATGATTAATAGATTTGTATTTTGATTATCCATCCTATAGTTCACCAACACAGTCTTATATCCTTTATACTTCATTCATCAAATATAACAGATGAAATTCATTCAATGCATCAAATCCAACGAACCAAAGCTCCACGTCCCACCTCGTACAACTCACACCTCTCTTGAAATCACCATACTCTCATCTCATCTCATCCCTTAGAAACCGCATCCGACATCATCGTGCCCATGCCACCATTATCATTTCACCCGGGACTAAATAAAGATACCCATCTTTAGTCCCAGATTCCTCGCCATTATCCGATTGCGGTGGGGCCAATGGCACGAGCACGATCTTTCGCACGTGCGGATATGACGGTGATGATGGCGGATGCTGTTTCTGAGGGATGGGAGTACGGTGATTTCGCGAGAGGTGTGAGTTGTAGCTCTGGTTCGTTGGATTTGATGCATTGGATGAATTTCATCCATTAGATTTGATGAATGAAGTATGAAGGATGTAAGACCGTGTTGGCGAACTATAGGATAGATAATCAAAATACAAATCTATTGATCATGATGCCATACTATAGCAGTAATTTAATTTGTCAAAAAATTGTGAAAGTTTCCCAAAATTTGGGTCAAATTTGAAAGTGGTGTACAAAAGTACCGAAAATATCTAAGGGTATACTTCTCCTTTTTACCCCCACATTTAACATCGTTAGCAAGAATTAACGGAATAAGGGCATACGACTGTTTTGTTTCAAAAAAGTATGGGCAAAAACGAAAACCCTAAAAATCAGGGGCAAAATCAATATTGGACATCGAAGTAGGGGTAAGAACGAAATTGTCCCTAAATTAAATTAACCTCGATGCAGATTCAAAATGAAAATGGGGCACAAGGGAGAGTACACAAATGAACAGGCATCAAGATGAACATATATGTACAGCCACACACATTGTTTTCAGTAGGACTAGAGGTTGGCACTGGAAGGTATTCCGTCAAAAAAAAATCAACCTAGAAGAGGATACGACCCCTCCTAAAACAACGAATCTGGATAAAGGGTAGTCCATATTTATTGTACTAGGAGGGATCAAAGTTAAATTATTTTTGGACGGAGGGAGTATCACATATCAACTAGATATAACACATCATAATCATCATAATCAGTTCATCTTAGACGGAGCTAGTCGCTTCTACTGCCTAAACTTGTGGCAACATGTTATACTAGTACTGCATTAGGTACACGTCTAATCATCCATAGCTAGTTCAGTCTAGTACTAGTCAGTAATCAATGGACAGTGGAGTAGCAGTAGATGCAGAAATCAGTAATCACTAAACAGGTGAGACCATCACCGTGCAGCTTCACGCCACCACCTAGAGTTGCAGAGTTTGCTGCTTCTTGGACTTGGTTGATTCCATCTTCCTCACGTTCTTCCTGCTCCTCCTCCTACTCATCCTCCTCTGACCAACACTGGTCTCCGTTTCTGCAGCTGCAGCGTTGCTTGCTTCGGTTCGATCGGTGCAGACCGAGCCGCGGCTCTCGGTGGAGCTCCGGCGAGAGAATTCGCCGCCTTCGCCGATGTTCAGCTGGCCGAAAACTCTCCGGCAATGTTCGGCCACCGGCCGGTCTTGCCGGGACGGCTCGTCCTGGCCGGCGCATTTCCTCTTACCACCCCATGCGCTGCCGTAGCTGACCGGCGGCAAGCTGATCATGCGGCGGCGGCTCGCCGGCGTCGAGTCCTCGTGCCGCCTCGCCGCCACGGGCGCATCCCGAGCGTGCCTCTTGCTGCCGTGCACGCGACTCCTGTATAAGCGGCGGGGCGGATTAATCGAATTAGCAACGGGCGAGGGGGAGGCTCTGCGCCTGCGCGTACCTGCTGCGGATGGCGCTGCCGCGGCGGGAGGCGTCGTCGAGCTCGCGGTCGCGGGCGCGCCAGTCGACGCCTTTCTCGGCGAGCACCACCTCCCGCGGCCGCGCGGCGCCGAACGGGTTCGCCTTCGCCTGCTCCCCTGTCTCCCCGCATCGCCGAGGCGGCGGCGGCGGCTGATTCTCCTCGTCGTCGTCCTCCTCCTGCTGCTGCTGCTGCTGCTCCGCCGCCTCCTCGCGCTCCACCTCGTCGGCCCAGGAGAAGGAGAACCGCCTCGCCGCCATGGCGCCGCCGCTCTCTCGGTTCATCTCCCCTTTGGTTTCGAATTCGCGCTCGGCAAGTGGGAAAGTGGTTTTGGTGTTGCGCGGGTTTACGAGTTTTGAAATCGGGGTCGCGGAAAAGTTACGAGTCGCAACGGTAACCGCACGGGCGCGTTTCCACCGCAACGCATACAGGCAACGGTCGGGTGAGTGGATAGACGCCGTTTTGACGGAAATTCCCCTGAATTTCGTGATAGTCATCCCCACGAGGCCACGACGCCGATTGGAGGCCTTTTAACAAGGTCAGATTGGGCCGAAATTTCTCGGCCCATAATGAACAAACCAATCTGGCACAGTTTGCATAGCACAATTCATTGGCCCCCTTAAGAAGAAACATAGAAATTGGCCATTTTTTTCAAAAAAAAATTGCTGAAAATTAAAGCAGTTCCATTTTTAATAAAAAATTAAAGCAGTTCTGATAAGGGCCGATAGTATTAGAGAAGTGCCTTCTGATTCCATATTCAAAAGCATAAAATTAAAGGGCGCAGTTGCAGATCAGAAGTGATGCAAGTGAAATAAGGGCCTGTTTAGATCAATTTGCTGTGCCGAATTTTCTTTGGTAAAAGTTTCGGTGGCAAAAGATTTGGCATTGAAGTTTTGCTAGTTACATTGGTGTTTAGCTGCATGGTAAAGTTTTGCCATTTTACTGGTAAAGATAGAGAGAGCACGGCTCCCAACGCACTTTTTGGCAAAATTTGCTACTCTAGACTCCCAAATGACAAATACCAAATTGCCAACTTCTGCTACTAGTGTTTAGATCCATTTTGATAAAAATTACTCCAAAATAGCAAAACTTTTGGAGGAAACGAAACAGGGCCTAAATTAACCTAGCAAATTACTAGTACATGAGAAAGGACCAAACCTGGTCCTAACTCCTGAGTGATATATTGCAATGATGTCTAACATTTTTATCTTTGACTGTCTTAATAAATAAAAGAAGAGGTTTAAAAAACATTTCTTCGGTGTTTAGATCCGATATATGGGCCATGCCAATGAATGTTGATTCATGACACCAGTTCAACAAAATTACTAACTGAACTGGATCTGCACACTTGTCCCTGAAATTCTCTTTTCACTGTAAGCTCTTAAAATTTTGTAACTTCAGAATTATTTTGGCCCAGAATTCATCAACGGATTTAATTTTTTTGCGAAGTGTGTCCTTGGAGCTGACGTGCAATCCAGCATCAACAATAATGTTAACGACAGGTATTCCAATGTCGAAAACAAACATGGGAATACACGATAGAATTATTTGGGCACATACACACCAGTTAGAACCAAATTTGGCAAATATTCAGATCATCAAGCAATTCCATTCCATATTTGGTCCAAACAATTACGCCCAAACAAGACATTGAAGATCCCAATGAGTATCTTGACAATTCGTCGGAAGTATTCGGTCTTTTGTTTTTGCGAGGAAGAAATTCATTCTGGCGTCATGCATGCATGGATCGATGAGAGGTGATGCACTTTGCAGCATCTGGTGTTTGATCAATAATCACAAAATAGGAACCCGCAACCACGAATCTGCATGATTAAATAAGGCCCTGTGTTTTTCTTTTTCCTTCTCTTTTTTTTTCTTTCAAAAATTACCTTCGACGAGGAGGAGAGGGGAGGCGAGGCGCGTATGCGTTGGCATTGGCGGCGTTGTTCTTGGAGGGATCAGCGCTAGGCGCGGAAGATGGCGGAGCACTTGCGCTTGAACCAGCGGATGCCGCGGCGGAGCGAGGCCTTCACCTTGCCCTCCACGGCGTACGCCTTGTAGACCGCCACCCGCCGCCGCCGCTTGGACTCCGCGTCGCCGAAGCAGCCCGCGCACGAGATGCCGGCGCCGCGCACGCGCCCGCTGCAGCGCCTGAACGCGCCCGGCGGCGGCGGGGTGGACGTGGAAGGGTCCGTCGTCGTCTTGGGCGCCATGGCGAGCCGCGAGCTAACCGCGCGCGCGGAGAAGGGAGGCTGCTGGTGCTTGTTATGATCAGCGGCGGTGGCGCGCGGGCGCGTGGATCGATCGATCGCCTCGGCCGGGAAGGGAAGGGGAAGAACGGTGGCGCGCGGCGGGGGACGGAGGAGGAGGGGGAGGCGACGGAGGAGGATGGATGGAAGGAGTCGCCCCGGCAGGTGCGGTGGAGATCGGCCATGGAGAAAAGGGGAAACTGGAGTGGAGACGCGCGGGAGAGGAGGAGGCCAGCGTGCGGCTCCGCTGATCCGTCGGCTTAATTTGATCTCTGGGTATGCATGTATGATGGAGAAATTTTTTTTTATTTTTTGACTTTTTATTTTTTTAATTTTATTAATAGACCATCAAAAAGTATTTTCAAATATTAACCTTTTGGCCACACCAGTCCCTCTGGTGTAGCCAAATAAATAACTGTATCACACCACGCCTGCATCTTGTCACGTCACAATTACTGGCATGGCAGGACCACGCTGCTAGCGTGGTCAAAAGATTCACTTTTCAAAAATACGTTTTGAAATGGTTTATTAATAAAATTAAAAAATAGAAAGGTCTAAAAATAAAAAAGATTCTATCATGGATTGTATTTCAATAACACTGTACAAAGTTGCCTAATCTTCGAGTTGAGTGTTCTTTTGAACATATGGTTTTTAAAATATAGAAATAGGAAAAATACAGAATTAAGATATCACGCCATATTGATAGGAAATAATGATAAAAAATAGGTTAAAACATGTGTTTGGATGTATTCTAGAAAAAAAAAAGGAAATTTAAGATTATATGTTGATTTGTTGGAGAGAGAATCCATTGAAAATCTAGGAATTTGAAAACATGAGGGCCGTACGTTAGACCTCATGTTAAAATTTCTCAAGTAAAGGAACTTTCCTATCCTATGTACTCCCTCCGTCCTACAATATAAGAGATTTTGAGTTTTTGATTGCAATGTTTGACCACTCGTCTTATTCAAATTTTTTTTGCAAATATAAAAAACGAAAAGCTGTGCTTAAAATACTGTAGATAATAAAGTAAATCACAAATAAAATAAATAATAATTTCAAAAAATTTTGAATAAGACGAGTGGTCAAACGTTATAAGAAAAAACTTAAAATCCCTTATATTATGGGACGGAGGGAGTATTTCCTTTGAAGCAATCCTAGCTACAAACCAAATGACTCATAAAGGCATTATTCCTTCAGTTTTCCTTTAAATTCCTCCAATCCAAAGGAGCCATGAGAGCGTGGATTGTGTGAACTGTTGAATTTTTTAAGAAGTTACTCGATATCGGAGCTTCTCATAGTTGAAACTCCTGTGAATTAGTTCCGATGTGTAAAGGATTAATCGAATCATATATAGAATCAATTATTGAGTTCAAAATTGATTGTGGTTTTAATGTGGGGGCAATCTCCTTTTAAGGAAAAGACGAACTGAAGCGGGGATTGTCGATCTAGCAAATGTGGAGGGTCTTCAATCTTCATGCGCGTAAATATTTATTTTTTTTCATACTCGTATGCTTGGACATTGGACATTATGTTTGATGTTTCCACACTGTACGTGAACACATAACATATTAAAAATAATAGAATTGCCTGTAAGTTGCTCTCTGCTAAGTTAATTTGTCTGATACAATATTCTGTAATTTAATTATATCACGTACCCAACGTCTTCAGTAAACTTGCATACACCAATACAAATATCTCACATATATTTCAGAAAAAAAACAACAAACATATATCTCACGTACAAACAAAGCTCCTCGTCTTCAAGAGCGAAGCCTGAGTTATTCACACGATGCATATATATGTATATATAGCACAAACTAATTAACGGCAAATACTCCATCCGTTTCACAATGTAAGTCATTTTAGCATTTTCAACATTCATATTGATATTAATGAATTTAGACATATATATATCTATCTAGTTTTATTAACATTAATATGAATGTGAAAAAAATACTAAAATGACTTACATTGTAAAACAGAGGAATTAGCATACATAGCGAGAATCTGTACCGTAAACCACGCAGCAACACGTACGTATATGTGTGTGTTCTTAACACACATGTATAATAAGCTTAATCATGTACTACGTCCATTTCATCTTAATTAAAAGACTTTTTAGCATGGTTAATATTTATATATATGCTAATGAATTTAGACACATATATATATATATAGATTCATTAACATATATATGAATATAGGCAATACTATAAAGTTTTATAATATGAAACGGAGCAAGTAGCTTATTATCGATCGCTAATTAAATCCGCCGTAGGGACATCTACCGGCTCATCCGCGCGCCGCTCCGGAGTGACCGGGGCCGGGGCTTGGACCGGGGTTCGTGTTAACCCTGCCGAGGTAGCTGTCGCCGGTCGGCGGCGAGACCACCACCCGCACCAGCAGCCTGCGCACGGCGCCGGCGGCTGTGGTCGTTGCGGCGCCGCCCCTCGCCGCCGCGCAATGAACGACCATCGCCGGCAGAGCGTGCCCGGCGGCAAGGAGGACGGCGATGGCGATCGCGGCGAAGGTTGTTGTTGAAGCTGACCACTTGGCCATCTCGAAGGTTGTCGAGTAGTGTTATATATGTCGTGGGTATTTTGGTGTGTGTGTTCTGTTCTGTGAGTCGAGACGAGGATTGGAGAGGGCTGTATATATAGGCACCGTTGGAATGGTCATGGACGAATGGGATCGATCGAACCCGGGCCGCCTCCGATCCCTGTCTTTTTTATGTACTGAATTTTATGCATGCACTGGCCCGTTCGATTCAAAATTAAACTTAGTACGAATAATTTCACACACACACATAATTCAGCACGATGCATTCGTTGGATCAAAGTACGTACGCATGCATGCTTTTCTGCCCTTACGTGTACTAGCATTGCTCACTTTTTCAGATCGATGATGCCAAATTCTCCTACATGCAAGCGGCAAAAGCATTAAGCATAGAGTTAATTGATCACTATTTTTTTCAACCCGTCTCAAAATAACTTTATTTTTCACCATCTTACTCATTCCAAAAATAACTTCATCATTAAAGCAACTAGCGGGGTGGCCCGTAAAATTGCACGGCTAGCAACTATATAAAATTATCTAATTTTTTAAAACATAAATTTCTTTAAAATTTGTTAAATAGTCATCTCATTGTGTCTTAGGATTTAAAAAAAACTTAAACCTTATTATCGTTGGGTTTTTAGTTTTATAATTTTTAAAACTCACACCAGCCACCACACCTACTTCTCAGCCCTCCCCTTAGTTGCTTGCCCACCCATCACAGCTTCTATTCATCCCCCTTGACAACTTTAAAAATCGAAGCTTAGAGTTTATGGTCTATTTATAGTTTTAGAATTCCAGCCAAACGTTGTCACTGCCTACCATACCTTTTCTCCCTATATTGTTATTGAGATTTTAAACATCAAACCTAATTACCGTTGGGATTGTTTTTTATTTCAAAAAGTCCTATCAACCGCCGTCATCCTACTTTTTTACGGCATGCCCACCGCTCCTCCTTTTATTGTTATTAGGATTTAAAAAATAAAATATAATTATCATTGGGGTTCTATATTATAGTTTTTAGATATTCCATCAATATATAGCTACCACCCTATTACCCTACTCATTACGGCTAGCCCATTGCTCTTCCTCTTTATTATCATTAGAAATTTAAAAATTGAACCTAATCGTTATTGGGTTTTCCTTTTTATAGTTCTTAAAAGTTTTGCCACCCACCATCGTCTTACTCTTTTACCGCCCTCTGCTTGTCCTCTTAGTAATAAAATAAAATTTAGTTTATTTCTTTTTCCAAATTTGGATTAATCTCATGATGTGTTCAAGACAAATTGTTCTTTTAATATTTATTATTTTATTCCGAATTATCTCCAAAATGTAGTTCTATTTGAACTTTAATTCTCCCCTAATTTATGGTATATCCTGCTACTTAGCATTGATTAAGCATTGATTAGATATCAAAATTTACAATAGAAAATATATATTTCGTCAACGACTATAGAAAATCTCTGTTCAACTCCAAATAAGGTATATTTCTTAACACCTTCGTAGTACTGTTGAGTTGCTAGGAGTACTAAAATTGTTTACCAAAATTATAGTTTCTTCTGGTAAACTATTCAAGTTTGGCGACTACTCGAGGACAATAATACAATCATACCTCTACAGTTTTAATTAGTATTTATAGGGAACATATCCTATGCACATAAACTTTCCGTGCACACACCAACTAGCAAATTTCACGAAAAATTATAGAAAAAAAATCAGACATTTACTCCTAATAGTACTACACGTATATGTAAAGTCTCATATTCAAATTCATTATATTTTACCCGTAGAAAACAAAATTGGACAATTTTAAGAGTAAAAGTCTGTCCGAATGTTGTCTTTTTTTCTTATGGCTAAAATATAATGAATTTGAAAATAAGACTTCATACATAGGTGTAGTACTATTGGAAGTATATGTGTCTAATTTTTTCTAGAATTTTCTTTAACATTTGCTAGTTGATGTGTACGGGAAGCTTGTGTGCACAGGATATGTTCCCGTACTTATAAGCAATACATATTGTTTGTGGCGATATAAGCCATATGGTTGTTCCCTTTTCCACAAATAAAAGATGTGGTTATTCCCACTTATTCCTCAGACACCAGTATTAGCAACCACAAGCAAACAATGAAAAAGGATAGCTATCTGATAAGTCGTGGAGACAGCATCATCGTACAGCGGAAATGATCACTTGTGTGGAAAAAGGTTAGTCCAAGGTTTAATATCACTTTGCGAGAATCTTTGCTTTCCTTTCATCCAATCGTAGTCCCTGATTGATATCGTTCATCAACAGAGAATTCGTACTTGCTTTATAGAGAACTAATTAGTTATATTCTTCGTACGTGGCATGAATCTGTTTACCAAATTTAATTCAAGGGGTGCTCAACACTTGGCAGCTGGTGGAACCATAATAATACAGGGGCAATTGTGTTCTTAATTTTAACCTATTTTAAAAGTATAACTACCAATTTAACTCTATTTTTTCAACTTTGTTTGTTTGGCCCTATTTTTAAAAATCGAAGGTTAGGTCTAACTTATTCCATAAAGACACCATAACAGTGTTAACTTAGACAAAAAAAAAGTAACTTTTATACCCTTGCTTATTTGATTATCAAGTTTATGTT